GAGAGAGTGAAGTATTTCAACTTTAACCAATCTCTCCATCATATCCTTTGAAATGTGACCCAATCGCTTATGCTACAACATGGATGATGATTCACGAATTAGAGACCTTTTTTTGACACATTGGGAACATAAGAGATTTCACCAAAAGAAGCTAAAGACAATTTATATAAATCATCACATAAAAGGTCATTTCCAATCAAACGAGAATCATCAAGCAATTTAACCATTCCATTACCAAAATTAAAAGAAAAAACCAGAAGCATCAAGTTTCGATATAGAAATTAAATTACGTCTCATTATTGGAACAAAAACAGTATTATCTAAAACAAGAGATAAACCTGACTCCAAAGACAACTTCACTACTTCTACGAATTCAACCTTCACTTGAACTCCATTCCTAATGTACATGCTTGCTTCATTCTCACTTGGCCTCCGTTTGCTTGTGAACTCTTCTTCTCCAACCAAGTTTTGAAATTAAAATAATCTTTCTACCAATGACCCTTCTTCTTGCAGAACATACATTGATCATTCTTCTTTATCACTCCTTTGGGACCACCAGAAGTCTAACCTCTACAATTTTTGTTCTGATGATTGCGGTGTGGCCCTTGTGGAATTTAGACTTATGGTTATGAAAAAACTCTTGTTTTATGATGGCTGAAAAGCTAATTGCACGGTTTCGACATTTTTATGCCTCAACCTATACTCTTCTTGAGCACATACAGTAAGTAATAAGGTCATTCAAATCTCATTTATCTCTTTTAGTATTATAAGCAACCTTCAGCTCATTAAACTCGTGCGGAAGGTTATTCAGAACATGATAGACCAGAAAGGGCTCAGCAACGGAATTCTTAAGAGCCTTTAATTTAGAAGATATATTAATCATCTTCATAACATGCTCTCTAATTCCACTTGTACCATCATATCTCATATTCATCAGTTTATCCATCATATCTCCAGTTTCAGCTTTATCAGACTTAACAAATCTCAATCTTATGGCATCCATAAAACCTTTTGCATTTTCATTATCTGGAATAGCACCCATAATGCAATCGGATATGGATCACTTAATAATTTTCAAACAAAGTTTATT